CCCACAGTTGCTTTAGCAGTATGTTTGGGGTCACTGTTGAAAGGTGCAGTGCCGTCCAATGAGTTTTGAGGCATTTGGTTGGATCTGAGCAGATAAGATGCTTCTGTACACTTCTGAATTCATCCTGCTGCTGCCATCTGCAGTCACATCATCGATAAAGACAAGTGAGCCAGTTCCACTGGCAGCCATACAACGCCCAAGCCTTGACACTACCTCCACCATGTTTCACAGATGAGGTGGTATGCTTTGGATCATGAGCAGCTCCTTTTTCCTTCACACTTTCCTCTTTCCATCACTCTGGTACAGGTTAATCTTTGTCTCATCTGTCCATAAGACTTTGTCCCAGAACTCTACAGGCTTTTTAATGTACTTTTTAGCAAACTGGCCTTTCTGGTTTTGAGGCTTACCAGTGGTTTGCGTCTTGTGGTGAACCCCCCAAGGTTTTGCAGGTGTGTTCTTCTCTTTATGGTAGTCTTTGACACATCGATGCCTACATCCTGGAGAGTGTTCCTGATCTGTTCAACAGTCAAAAGGGTTTTTTTTCTTCACGATTGAAAGTATTCTTTGGTCATCCACTACTGTAGTCTTCCGTGGTCTACCAGGTCGTTTGCTATTGCTAAGCTCACCAGTGCATTCTTGCTTCTAAACAATGTGCAAAACAGTTGATTTTGACACACCTAATGTTTTGGCTATGTCTCTGATTGATTTATTCTGATTTTTCAGCCTCATGAAAAATCGGCCCGCATTACTGGCATTGCCACTTCTTTGGTCCTCGTTGAGAGACAACAGCAACAGACTCCAGATGCAAATGTCACGTCTAGAATCAACTCTAGACCTTTTGTTAGCTCTCTTGTGCATGAACTAACAATGCAAAGTCCACACAGCTGGCTAAGAAAAAAACTAAGCAGCCAATTGTCCAATTACTTTTGGTCCCCTAAAATAGGAAGACTATGTATAAAAAGGGCTGTGATTCCTTTTTGGTTCACCCAATATAGACGTAAATACCCTCGAATTAAAGCTGACATTCTGCACTTTAAGTACAGAGCCAAAACAACAAAAAGTGTGTCGCTGTCCAAATACTTGTGGACTGCACTGTATATACTATAAATGTATACTAAATGTATTTTAGGAAGATCTTGCAGCAGGAAGAAGAAAGCAGGCTGTGGTGGAGCAGGTAATGGTGGATCAACTATCCAGGTTAGACATTCTTTTGAAGTTAAGTTTTCTTGAAAATAAAAACAAATTACATAAGTTAAGGTGTATTTCCTGTTGGAAGTGGTTTTTGACCAGTGATGATTATTGACTAGAATCAAAAGTCTGTTACAAAGAAAAATCCTAAAGGGTAGAATCTTTAGTTTTTTATTAAGGGCATGTTTTTCTAATATTCCATGTTTTTTGTGGTAATTGCTGGAAGCAGTGTCATTTTGTAACTTCAGTAAGCATTTCAGCTGTCTGCCAAATATATATTTTTAAAAGCATAGAATAAGTCGTCTCTTAAAAAATATCTTTTTAGAGCAGTCATAAGTGACCCTGATCAAAATTCAACCAGCAACGAGCAGATTTCAGTACAGCGGCCAGGATCAGCGCCCTTGCGATTCAAGAACAGAGCACTGCATGACACGAAGTAAGCATAAACTATGTGAACACTTTTTGGACAAAGTGATGTTAGGAGATTGTATAACCTGAGTATAGTTTAGCTTTAGAGATCTTTCTATTCTGCAGTAGAAATAAAATCTAAGTTTAGTGAACAAAATCAAAACATTTTGGCTGTGCACTCAACAGGTAATATGATCATATTTAATTAAAAATAACCCTGTACTACAATTGCATGATCTTTTCATAAAGTGATAAATATAAACTGTGATATTAACATCACTTTATTAGCACTATACAATGTCTTGCGTTAGGAATTCATCTTTTCGCATACCCCAGACAGGGAGAGAGAAGCTCGGGGGCAGAGTGCAGAGTCAGCCATTGTACAGCGCCCCTGGAGCAGTTGGGGGTTAAGGGCCTTGCTCAGGGGCCCAGCGGAGTAGGATTCCTCTGCCGGCTGCAGGATTCGAACTGGCAACCTTCCAGCCACAGATCTTCAGATCCTTAGCCACAGAGCCACCACTCCGTATTAAATTGTTAAATTACTTATTCTTTCAGAGTGAGGACCAGATCAGCATTGACAGAGAATCTGCTGTCTAACAAGTTGCGCTTTGATGCCCGAATTTTAACAAGGTAAGTTTATCAATGTATATTTTTTTTCTCTGGAAAAGTGCTGCTAAAGCAAAAGCAGTAGAGTGTGAAGTGTATAATAAGAGTAGTTTGAAGTTTATTTGGTTAGAGCACATTTTTCTTTAACATAATTTAATTCGCAGCTTCAAGCTCTTGATCAGATCCTGTATGAAATAAAAAGATTTTCCATTTCTCTGGGACAATGTTTAATTTCTAGGAGTGGACGTGATGCCTGCAGAGAGCTAATTGGATTCTTCTTTGCTTTTGATAAATCCTTGACTATCTATGAATATCGACACTTTGGAAAAAACAGGCAAGTCTTTTGTGCTTTTCTTTGTTTCTGACATTCATAAGAAACAATCCATTCACTGTTAATTTTGTATTTTTTCCTAAAATTATACATTTGGGTTTTCTTTAGATCAAGTGCTCTCCCATTAATTCAAAAGGGGTCATACAGTCATCAGCATGGAAGAAGAAAAGGAGTACAATTTGGAATTCATGACTTCTATGTGGTAAGTAGTTTTGCACTATTTAATGGTTTGGATTCAAGGGAAGATTTGCAAAATCTGCTTTTGACTGAATTGTGATTTAAGTAATTTAAATTTTTTAATAGTTTCAGACATGGACAAGGATAGTAATAATTACCGATATTAACTTTGTGTTTGAACGTAACTCGCTGCTTTTTTAATTATTGTAAACTTTTTAACTTATTCCTTTAATTTTTGCTACTTTATTGTAAAAGGGGGCTAACTTAACATTTACTACCACTGGACATAATCTCCCAGAAAATATCAAACAGAAGCCATTGCTAACTCTTCGGATTACTGATGTGGATGAAATGGCAAAAAGCATGTTACTGTAAGTTCAGAAAACATTTTTAATAGTATTATACAGTATAAACATTAAAAATTAGATCATTCTGTATGGTATGTTGAATTATAAATATTTTTTTTAATGATGCCTCTGTGATATATGGGTATTTCTTCAGGTGTAAAAGGAAAATATAGAATAAAATTCTCAAGTATTTTAAAGTTCAGTCACCCCTGTATGTGACTATATGACAGGTATGACTTTACCTGTCGTATAAATAGAAGCTTTTCTTTTGTCAAATGGCAATAGCCTCATGGTGTTGCCACATACCTGTCTGACAAATGACAATTATTAAGAGAGCACATAAATGTAACTAAGTAAATTATAAAATAATGTAGTTCTTATCTAATTAAGTGTCTTCCAAATGTGTTGGTATGGCAAAGTCAAAACTATTACATTTGATTTACAGTCAAGCAGTTTGTATTTTTGATCATGAGATTAAGATGAATGATTAGCACAATACGATCTGTATGGTGTGTTGTACATATGAAGTTACACTACGAAAAAGCGTGAATGCTCAATTTCAGATGGTTGTTTGGAGCATCTGCAGTCTCTTTCTTTCTTCACACTTTAAACTTTCCACGATTTATCTTGGTCTCCTAAAACTTTTTTTTCCAATATTCTCTCTTATCATGTGTACTTCTGATCACATTCTGAAGGATGATGGAGGACATGTCTTGCTCACATTATGTAATAAAATCCTGAACTGTAACTCAAGTCAAATTTAGTGATCTACAAAAGTCATTACAGTCTTCCCCCTTAAAGCACTAGGTTGAACTACTGTACTTCTGAACTTCTATACTTCCACCTCCTTTCCTGTTGCTAACTAATTAAAATAATGTAAACAGTTAGTAGGGTGTGGGTTGAATTGATTTTATTTAAATAGAATATTTCTAATGTATTTCAGGGCCTCTGTAGAAGACATTTACCAGGATCCAACAAAACAAGAAGTAGATGACAGAAATACACTGTTCTCCATTCAGGGTACTATTTCAGTAATAAACTATAACAAATACTTAAATGGGTAAAAAAAAATAACTTATTTTTTTTCTTCCTCTTTCCTGAAGTGTTTCCAAATAAATGCTTTCAAACACTGTATACAATATACAAAACATATTTATGTAATATCAGTCATATAATATGTCATATGAATAATGTGATTTGATAAAGTGGCTTAAGAATATAAAATTAAGCATTTTAATGGCATAGTGCAGTTATTCTCATTCCTGTTACTGGGGAGCCGCTGCACTACAGATTTTATAGGGAACTTACTGTAAGTCCTCAATCACACAGGGTTTGGAAACATGGTGATTAAGTCAATGATGTAAGTTGTTAGAAGCTAGAAGACCAAGTGGCTTCATTGCCAAGAGTATGGAATCGTGGGGAAATGTGTGGTTTGAAAGTCTTTGTGGAAATGAATACATTTATAGTGGATAGAACTAAGTATTTCTACCTTTTTAGATTTCTTAAAATACTAATTACTTCTTAAAATACTAATAACTAAGAACACAAGTAATAACTGTTTTTATTTTGTTGGGTTCGGGGTGTTTTTGTCATCCCCAAGTCAGTTTTATTCTAGTCATGTAATTACATATCACATTATTAGCTAGCATCACCCAGTATAGAAGATGAAGAGGCATGCTCCCATTGCTGAACTGTTTGCATGCTCACCGTTTAGTCATAATGTACTGTAATCCCTCTTATATGTGCTGTTGTTTCTTCCATAGTGTTCTTAGGTAGAATTCTGTTTTGGATTGTTGCATTATGTGCACAATGCATCCTACATTTCTGTTAGTTCACTGTACTTCATTTTCCACTTTGTAATCATTATGGATTTTCCATTTTATTACATATAATGATAATTAAGTGTTATATATAATTGATTTTCAGTTTACTTGTATTGCTACCTCGCAGCACTAGGACCCTGGGTTCATTTCTGAACCTGGGGTGCTATCGGTTTGTATATTCCCCCCCCCCGTGTTCATAAGAGTTTTCTCCATGTGCTCCAGTTTCTTCCCACAGTCCAAGTATGTCTGTGTCTGTTTGCTCTCTGATGGACTAGCATCATGTCCAGGGTGTATCCTGCCCACCGGGATAGGCTCCAGCTCCCTCATGACCTTAATTAGATGAAATGATAAGAAAATACACAGGTGGATGCAAGTTGATTTATTAAAAAAAAGATTGATTTATAACAAATGTTGGTCAGTTATCAAGAGAAAATCACAAACATTTGTCTTTGCCAGGAACACTGAAAGAAAAACTAAAGAAGAGAGGAGTTCGTACACTTACAGGAATAGGAAAGCTCTTCAGAAGCTTGGATAAATCTGGAGATGGTGTTCTACAAAAAGAGCAGGTTCAACTTGCTCTGAAGGAGTTTCACTTGACATTGTCAGAAAAGGTAGGGCCAGGATAGACCATTGCTGAGCTGTCGAATTATTGCTGTCTAATTATTTAAAATATCACTGATAAATACCTAGATGTGACTGTCCTCTGTAAAATTATTCTTAATTTTGACAGCTTCTTTTAGAAGCTGTTTCTACAGTGTGTACCTGTGTTCCTTCTGTTGGACAGCTAAATCCAGTTGTTATAATAATTGAAATAATATCTAAGGAGAAATATAAAAATCATTACATTACGTTTCGTTAGGACTTTGATGCTGTTTGGCGGATAATGGACCTGAACTGTGATGGTGAAGTCGATTATGGGGAGTTCCTAAGAGCAGTCACTGGAGAAATGAATGAATACCGAAAGGCATTTGTCAGAAAAGTAAGTCACCTGATAGAGCGATTTGATTTCTTGACTCACAATAAATGTGTGCCAATAAAAGATCT